GTGAGTACGATATTTTCATGTATGGAGTAGATAGATAGTTACACAGGGATGATAGATAGATAAGAGAAAAGGGATTTATACTGTGTGCACGTATACAAAGTGGCCTTCACTTTTTATTCTCAAGGTAAGTTCTTTAAGATATAAAGTTGTTTGTCTTTGAGCCAATTATTTCTACATTGATTACCAGGAACCAAGATTTTTTTTCTTTCTTTCTTTCTATTTTGCGAAGGCTACGTTTATGCCTCACGTTTCCTTCTCTACTGCTACTGTGAAATTCAAAGGAGAAGAGCGCGCCTTGCTTATTTTCGACTAATGATGTTGTGGTGATTATTAATGTATAAGAAGGCATCAGTAACTCCTGAATTAGCTATTACTGGTGAACTTTGTAGGTCTGTATGTGTGCTTGTCTGCTTCTGTCGCTGTCCATCTCTCTCTCTCTCTCTCTCTCTCTCTCTCTCTCTCTCTCTCTCTCTCTCTCTCTCTCTCTCTCTCTCTCTCGCTATGTGTGTGTGTGTGTGTGTGTGTGTGTGTGTGTGTGTGTGTGTGTGTGTGTGTGTGTGTGTGTTAGTGTGTGTGTGTGTGTGTGTGCGTGTATTTCTCTTCTTCTCTGCCTCTGTCGCTGTCCATCTCTCTCTCTCTCTCTCTCTCTCTCTCTCTCTCTCTCTCTCTCTCTCTCTCTCTCTCTCTCTCTCTCTCTCTCTCTCTCTCTCTCTCTATCTGTTCCTCTTCCTCTCTCTCTCTCTGTTTCTCTTCCCCTCTCTCTCTCTCTCTCTCTCTCTCTCTCTCTCTCTCTCTCTCTCTCTCTCTCTCTCTCTCTCTCTCTCTCTCTCTCTCTCTCTCTCTCTCTCTCTCTCTCTCTCTCTGTTTCTCTTCCTCTCTCTCTCTCTCTCTCTCTCTCTCTCTCTCTCTCTCTCTCTCTCTCTCTCTCTCTCTCTCTCTCTCTCTCTCTCTCTCTCTGTTTCTCTTCCTCTCTCTCTCTCTCTCTCTCTCTCTCTCTCTCTCTCTCTCTCTCTCTCTCTCTCTCTCTCTCTTACGATCACCACTACATATGATATTCGCTTTAGTGCCCAAATCCCTTGTATAAAATCCCCAACGATACCGCATCATAGAGAGATTCCCAACACCCGAGAAAAAAAAAAAATTGCCACAGCTTCACCTTCGGAAATCCGAGACTCCTTCAACCCACATGCATGCTGTTCTGCCAAAGTTACTTGCTGTTTCCAACTTAGACTAGCTTCACCCGAGATAACTCTTGTTGCCGCTTTACAAAGTCACCCTCTCGCTCCCGAGGCCCGGCCTGGGAACTTCGCTCTGGTAGTTTATGGAATATATAAAAGCCGACTTAAATTCTTTGGGGGGTCCTTCTGGGAACCGTGATCTTGTGTTATATTCTTTTATGTCATTTTCCTTTTTCATTTTCTTTTCATTTCTTTACTTTTTTTCTATTCTTTGTTCTTGCTTTCTTCTTGTCTTTCGTGTTTTCCTTCGTCTTCCCCCATCTCCTCCTCTTTCTCTTTCCTCCTCCTCCTCCATTTCCTCCTTTTTGACTTCTTCCCCTTTCTCCTCCTCCTTTTTTCATCCTTCCTCCTTCTCCTCCTCCTCCTCCTCCTCCTCTATGACTTCTTCCCCTTTCTCCTCCTCCTTTTTTCATCCACCCCCTTTCTCCTCCTCCTTTTTTCATCCAGCCCCTTTCTCCTCCTCCTTTTTTCATCCACCCCCTTTCTCCTCCTCCTCCTCTTTGACTTCTTCTACTCCCCTTCTCTGTCTTCTTGCCTCTTCTTCTCCTCCTCTTTGATTTCTCCTCTCTTTCTCCTTCCCCCATCTTCTCCCCTTCCTCCTCTTTGACTTCTTCTCCTCCTGTACTTTTTCTCCTTTCCCCTCCTTCTCCTCCTCCTCCTCCTCCTCCTCCTCTTTTACCTCTCCCCCCTTCACCCCCTCCTTCAGCTTATTACTATTCCCATTAATCTTCTCCCTTCTTTCTCATCCTCTTTCACTCACCCCCTCTTTTCTTTTCCTTCCTTCATCTTAACCCTCGCCTGAACTAATTATGCATGTATCATTCACCAGTTAAAGACGCAGTGCATATAAGCAAAGGCAAATCAACATTCAGTAAAGCGGAAGCCTTGGTGAAGCTCTTGATATTAACCCTGCTGAAGTTTGAATTGGGATAATACGATTTAGCTTCACTTCAGTAAAAAAAAAGAGAATCTCTCTTTCTTTCTCTCTTTCAATCTCTCTGTCTGTCTGTCTGTCTCTTTCTCTCTCTCTCTGTCTCTGTCTCTTTCTCTCTCTCTCTCTCTCTTTCTCTCTCTCTCTCTCTCTCTCTCTCTCTCTCTCTCTCTCTCTCTCTCTCTCTCTCTCTCTCTCTCTCTCTCTCTCTCTCTCTCTCTCTCTCTCTCTTTCTCGTGCTTAATTTCAGGGAATATATTTTTTTTTTACTCTCTCTCGCTTAACATCAGTGAATATTGCATTTCCTTTTCTTCTTTCTCTCTCTTTCTCTCTCTCTCTCTCGTGCTTAACTTCAGTAAATATTCCTTTTTTTTCTCATTCGTGCTTAACTTTAGTGAATATTCCCTCTCCCCCTCTCCTTCTCTCTCTCTCTCTCTCTCTTTCTTTCTCTCTCTCTCTCTCTCTCTCTCTCTCTCTCTCTCTCTCTCTCTCTCTCTCTCTCTCTCTCTCTCTCTCTCTCTCTCTCTCTCTCTCTCTCTCTCTCTCTCTCTCTCTCTCTCTCTCTCTTAACTTCAGTAAACATTTTTCTCTCTCTTTCTCTCTCCTGCTCAACATCAGTAAATATTCTTTCTCTCTCTCTCTCTCGAGTTTTACTTTTTTCTCTCTTTATCTCTCGTGCTTATCTGACGGTTGTAAAAATATATATATACCTTATCGACTGTGGTTTATGGCAAAAGGTTAGGTCATTCCAGAAAAGTGAGGAACATTGAACCTTTTCTGTGGTATGGTTGTAGTTTTATGGAGCAATAATTGACGCAAAGTAATTCTTTGGTTTGAAAAGAGGAATAATGTCTTTTTTTCTTTTTTTTTTCTTTTTTTTTGGGGGGGGGGTGACCTCTCTGCGTCGTAGTATTTTTCAGTTTAATGTTTTTGTTATCAGTTATTTCTTTGGCATATTGTATATTCCTGTAAGAGGAAAAAGTCATACTATCAATGGGTAACAAAATTGATAAAAAGAACCGAAGAAAATCTAATGAATTATATGATTATTCCTTAAAATAACTCACTAATTAACCAACACATTAATTATCCTTTTTATCCTAATTAAAACCAGGGGGATTAAAACAGTTTGTGACAAAGAAAATGATGTAAAGAACGAGAGACAAAGACATTTTCCATAATTTGGGTTAAAAATCAGTCAGGGCAGAAAATCAACTTTCGTCGGGATACGTTTATTAAGTAAAAGTGTCAGTAGGATCTTAAAAGTACACGAGCAAGAATAAAAAAAAAGTCGGTAAGAGGAAATAGAGGAAAAAGAAACAGGTGTTAGAGATAAAAAACAAAAACGGGTAAAAAGAAATAAAGAAAAAAGAAACAGGTGTTAAAAAGAAAAGAAATGAGTAATACAAAATAAAGAATAAGAAACAGGTGTTAAAGATAGAAGTCAAAGATGAAGATAAAGAAACAGGTAATAATAACAAAAAAAGAGAGAAAATAGTGATAACAAAACTAACCAAAGAAACAAAAAGACAGAACCCCACCTACCCTCAAAAAAAAAATAAATAAATAATAAAAAAAAATAATAAATAAAAATAAATAAAAATAAATAAAAAAAGGACCAAAACAAACGATAATAAAAGGAAGAAGAACGACATATTCCTTCGCAAGTCTCTCCACCTCATTAATATGAGTGACGGCAGCGGACCTTCAGATTATACAAGGCGAAGAAGTTTGTGCCGGGAGTTCCTCGAGTACCCGAGTCCTACCTCCTTGCCGTCGGGTTACTCCTCGTAGTTTTCTCGTCACGCCGCTACAAGGAATACAAAACTGGTGGAGGGGGAGGGGGGGGGAGAGTGGGAGGAAAGGAGGGGTGGCAGAGAGTGGGAGGAAAGGGGGGGGGTAGAGAGTGGGAGGAAAGGGGGGAAGAGAGGATAGGAAGGATGGGGGAGAGTGAGAGGAAGGGTGGGGGGAGGAGTGAGAGGAAGGGGGGGGAGAGGAGAGGAGAGGAAGGGGGGGGAGAGAGGAGAGGAAGGGGGGGGAGAGGAGAGGAAGGGGGGAGAGAGTGAGAGGAAGGGGGGGGGAGAGTGAGAGGAAGGGTGGGGGGAGAGGGGAGAGAGAGGATATGAAGGGGGGGAGAGGAGAGAAGGGGGGAGAGAGAGGAGAGAAGGGGGGAGAGAGGATAGAAGGGGGGAGAGAGGAGAGGAAGGGGGGAGAGAGGAGAGGAAGGGGGGAGAGAGTGAGAGGAAGGGGGGAGAGAGTGAGAGGAAGGGTGGGGGGAGAGGGAGAGGAAGGGGGGAGAGAGTGAGAGGAAGGGGGGAGAGAGGAGAGGAAGGGTGGGGGGAGAGGGAGAGGAAGGGGGGGAGGAGAGGAGAGGAAGGGGGGAGAGAGGAGAGGAAGGGGGGAGAGAGGAGAGGAAGGGGGGAGAGAGGAGAGGAAGGGGGGGAGAGGATAGGAAGGGGGGAGAGAGGATAGGAAGGGGGGGAGGAGAGGAGAGGAAGGGGGGGAGGAGAGGAGAGGAAGGGGGGAGAGAGGATGGTAGTGGAGAGGACTATGGAATTGGGGTGGGGGGGAGGGGAGGCAAGAGGTATGGGTGAAGGAGGGGAGAAAAGTGGAAGGGAGGGATCCTCCTCCCTCCCTCTAGGACTCTCTCTCTCTTCTTCTCGCCACTCCTCTTTCTCTTTCTTTTCCTTATATGAGTTTTCGTTCTTATGTCTGTCTGTTTGTCTCCATCACCCGTTCCTGGCTTCCTTCGTCCATTAATTCCCTCCTTCCCTTGTCTCTCCATCATTCATTCCCTTCTTCCCTCCCTCTTTCCCTTCTATTTATCCCTC